ATGGTAATACGCTTTATCTTTGCAAAAGCATCACCATCTGAATAACCCCAGGAAGCTCTGCGAGGAGGAAAGGGTACTCGGATCCTCAGAGGAGAGAGAGGGACCAGCTAAAGGAGTATGCTTTCTTTCCCAGGTCTGGCCACATACATATTCATGAGCCTGGTGGGCATGTTAAATCTAAGGTTTATGAAGCGGAATCTTATTTGCTCCTGTTCTCTACAGAATGCAATATGTGTATGAAAAAATGGAAACAAAATCGAGCAGTAGATCACTGGCTTGACTGAACGCTATGAACTTTATTCTAGGTCTTTAATAACCCAACACAGAGCAATGGATTTTTATGCTACTGTCATCAATGAAAAGAATAGTCCCTTGAAGAAAAACAAAACCCATCTGTTTTTATATCCTTATTTTCCTCAACCTTGTGCTGAAATGAAATCCCTCTTGTAGATTTTAAATGTTGACTTCTAGGTAGCAGGGAAGAGAGCTAAGGCATTATGAAAACAGCACATAAACTGGAAGAAGACAATAGTTTGAATTTTGTCTTTGCCTCTTGCTAATGGGGTTGTTTTGGGCAAGTAATGTTTCTGAATCTCACAGGGCTTTTGAAACTATAAATGAAATAGTTTACATGAAAACAATGGGTAAATTTAGCAAGTTGAAATGTGTTATATGAACATTAGCTGTTCTTGGTATTTTGTCTCTCTAATCGATGGAATCTACTGTCATGCCAGACTACTGGGTTAAGCTTCATAGACCCTTGTTGGAATGTGATACGGCACAGGCTTTACTTGACCTCGTGAAGTCTGCAGACTAGTCAGGGAGACAGGCCATGGGTACTAACAATTATAACAGCGAGGGAGGAGGGGCGACAAGAATTAGGAAAAACACAGGTGCCGGACTTGCTGCCCAGGTTCCCAGTGAAAGAACAAAACGGAAAAGGCCACTTGATAAAGAAGGGCCCCCACATCCTCCAGTTAAGGTGCTGGAGCTGCTTAGGAGATACCGTCAGTGGCGCACGTTCATTGTTTTACTTCTTTTAGCCAAGAGGCTTGGCCAGATTCGTCGGGCCTGTGGGCCTGTGAGTTCCAGCTAGGATGCCAGGTGGGAGGGTGGGAGGAAAGGGAGCTTACAATGGCAAAGAAGAGCAGGGAAGCCAGCTGGTGAGACCTGGAGCCAGGAAACTTCCAAACACAGGGAGCATGTGGAAACAGCGCTTAACCTGCAATCGGAAGAGGTTAGACAAAGGGAGGTTAGACTGGGGTCTGTTGGCCTTTCCCACCAGAAATCAAGCTACGTCGTCATTCTGGAGGCCATATAGAGATGACACACCCCTTTCCTCTTAGTCTAATTTACAGTAACTGTAGTGGAGTCAAGGCAAGAGAAACTGGTGGCGACATGCAGGAGTTTTGCTGCTAGTTTACCTGCTCCCTTTGGGTCAGTGCAGAGATGGAGTACTCCTTCTTCGAAGCCTCTGGGAATCAGGGAAGACCTATCATTTCTCCTAGTAAGCCTTGGGGATTTTTCATAGAAAAGGGTCTACTGAACATACACTATGTGGTAGGCCTATTCTAGTCTGGGAAGATAGAAAGTTGAGTAAGGCACAGAATGTTTTTACAAAAAGTTTACAAGAAGGAGAGACAGTCACACATACAGCTGACCGTGGTAAAGGTCTGACTGCAGGATGAGCTCGAAAGAGATGAAGAAGAGGCAGAATGCAGGCCGGAAAGCTGGGAGTCAGGGATGATGGGACCCAAACAGAAGAGGCAACATTGCAGCCTGGCCTTGAAGAAGGATTTTGACTCAGGCAGATAAGCATTGTGCACTAGCCTTGAACGCCCACCCTGCCTTTTCAGGAAGTGTGGAGAATGTGCTGTAGTTGAAACGTGGCTGTGGTGGGTTGTAGGCAGGCAGGGGGTGGGTGGGGATGGTGGGAAGAGAAAGGTTTGTCTCCAACTATCTAAGACTCTGAAGGCCATGCTTGAAGGCTTCATCCTCTTCGTTCAGCAGAGGATGCTGGAAGCCGTAGAGGAGGCGCTAATGGAGTAGAAAGAGATGGAATTTACATCTGAGAGTCGTGGTTCCTCTGAGTGGCTATGTGTCCTTGGACACTTGCCCTCTTAAAGGGCCACTTAAGTCCCTTTAGATTCCGTTTTTTGAGCTGGAAAATGGATATGTTGATCATAATGCTTACCCTAGATGTTCAGGATGATTATGTTCCTCTAGTCATAGCCTGCTTAAATTCTCCTTTTCTAAGGTCTTGCTCAAAATATCACCTTCTTATTAAACCTCTCTGGATTCCCCCAGAGCTTAGTTGAGAAATCGAGACATATACCTATGATAAGATAAAGTAGCATGTAAAAATGCCATTACGTTAGGCAAATATGGGGGCCATGAAGGACTCGGGCCCATATGGGAGAAAGGCCTGGGTTCGAATCTTGGCTCTGTTTCTCGCCTAAACTCCATCAACTTGCATAACTTTTAAGTTAAGCATGAAAATACCTATTATACCTTCTCAGAATGGTTGTAAACATTAAATGAGCAAAACGTGTGAAGGTGCTTGGTAAATTAAGACATGCTCTACATGTTACTTACTGTGGTTATTACTGAAGGTGTGGAAGTGATAAGATCCAGCGAATGACCTTTTGAAAAAAAAATGACGTCGGGTCAGGCATGGTGGCTCATGTCTGTAATTCCAGCACTTTGGGAGTCTGAGGCAGGTGGACCACCTGAGGTCAGGAGTTTTGAGACCAGCCTGACCAACAAGTGAAACCCTGACTCTACTAAAAATAAAATAATTAGTTGGACATGGTGGCAGGCACCTGAAATGCCAGCCGCTCAGGAGGTTGAGGCAGGAGAATTGCTTGAACCCGGAAGGTGGAGGTTGCAGTGAGCCAAGATCATGTCACTACACTCCAGTCTGGGTGACAGATCAAGACTTCATCTCAAAAAAAAAAAAAAAAAAAAAAAAAAAAAAAAAAAAAGATAACGTTGATAGTGTGAGATGGGTGAAAGGAGGGGAAAGAGACAGGAGGTTGAGAGACCAGCTGGATGCTATTGCAGTGATCCTGGCAGGGAAGGGTGATGTCCTTGGCCAAGATGGTGAGGATGGAGAGGCAGGGTGAATTCAGGCGCTTTTCTGAAGGTAGAACCAACAGGACAATGGTACTAATTGGACGGGAGGGATGAAAAGAAGCAAAGAGCCAAAGGTAAGAATTTTGGTGGGTGGTGATGCCCTGAACCAAGCCAGCCCCTTGTTACTTCCAAATTGCTGAAATTCAGAAAGCGGAAAGGAGGCATTTCAGGGCTTGATTTCAGTTGCCCTGGCCCTCACTGGCCCTAGTCACTCTTCGTTTTGGCTCTCTCCTTCGCTTCCCCAATAGCACCTTTAATAGAACCCAGTGAACCTGAAGCCAAGCGCAGGAGAATTTCTCCTTCTGATGTGCCTTTCCCTACCCCTCTGCCTGATGGTAAGCATGTGGCTGTACCCAAGGAAACCAGCTCTATCTCAGCAGAAAGGCCAGGTGAGGCCCGAGCAGATGTCTCTTGGCATTATGGTAGACTGACACCTCCCCTTTCCCTGTACCATGGCTGGGGTCCATCCCCCAGCCCCTCATTCATTTCTCCATTCCTGGACATGAGAGAGAAACTGGCAGGACCTAGAGTGGGTGCTGGACTCCCCTCAGATTCAGGCTACAGCTCTATTTTTTCTTTTTGTTTTTGTTTTTGTTTGTTTTTGAAACAATGTCTTGCTCTGTTGCCCAGGCTGGAGTGCAGTGGCGTGATCACAGCTCACTGTAACCTCGAACTCCTGGGCTCAAGCAGTCCTTCCACCTAGGCTTGCCAAAGTGCTGGGATTACAGGCATGAGCCACTGTGCCTGGCCTGCAGCTCTTGATGGGGCTCACATTTAATAAGTAAAACAGCTTCCCGGGTAGTAGGAGAACACCTGAGCGGTGGCTGGGAGCCACTGCACTGGTAAGCGGCATCCTAGCCTGGAAGGATGTGTGGTGAGGGGAAAGGCATTGGCAGAGGTGGCTTCTGGAGGAACCTGTCAGCAAACTGTGATTTACTTATCCCCATTTGTTCACCCATTGAATCCGATCCTCCTCTTGTCTACAGGGAGCCCTTAGTTCTCTTCTCTCGTCTTTTCCCATGGAGCTGTGGCCTTCTCATTCTCTTGTCACAGTGAGTGAGACTGGTCCCTTGAGCCTATCATGGGCTCTGTCTTCTTCCTGACCCCACCTGGGCTTTCCCTCTGCCTCCTCATCTCTCCTCCTACCCACCCCACCTTCCCACTGGCTTTACAGGAGTCAGGTATCCTTCCTACGACCCTTCCTTTCTTATTTAACGGACATCAGCCACCTTTGAATAGCGTTTTAACCTTTCAAGTCATCAGCCTCATTGATCTTCAGTGCAGCAGAGGCTACACAGCATCGTGGTTAGAGTTCACATCTCAGCAAGGCACTTCACCTCACTCAACTCAGCTCCCCCATCTGTTAGATGGGAATTTTAATAGTACGAATACTTCATAGGGCAGTTGTGAGGATTAAATGAGTTAATGGATGTGAAAACCTTGATGCAGGGTTGACACATCATCACTGGTCAATATTCATTGGTTACTAGTTGTTATGAGAAGGAGAAAGAGTAGCTGCGCCCTTCAGAGGGTTAAGGGTTTTCGTCGTAGCGGAGGAGGTGGAACATGGCATTTTGAAACCTAGCTTCTCACATGGCTAAGAAAATACCTTTCAAAATAGAGCAAGCAATCAGCTGGTCCTGACTGGAAGGCAGCTAGTCTGGGGAGGCTTCCTGTGTGAGGCTGAATGAGGTGTGTTTCTGTGTAACGTTGTAAGGAGGTCACAGTTGCAGCCTGGGTCAGAGGAAAGGCGACATGGGCTTAATAGAGGTGTTGCTCAGATGCTGTCTCTGTTGCTTGCTTTACCCTCTCCCTTAGTCTTGGCCCTGTCCAAACCCAGTGAATCTTATCCTTCTTGTCCGCAGGGAATTTGCCAAAGAGAGAGAGAGAGTGGAGAACCGAAGGGCTTTCATGAAGCTGCGGCGCCAGCAGCAGATTGAGCGGGAGCTGAATGGCTACCGGGCCTGGATAGACAAAGCAGGTAGGCCTGGGGGCTGCAGGAGGCTGGGGAGTGGGCTGCAGAGACATCAGGGCCGGCCCCTCACTCCCAATGCCCTGATTCAAGGGGCAGCCTAGACAAGAGAAGAGACACTCTGGGTGTCTGCTGGGTGGCTCCTAAGGTGCCCTGCCCATCCCACCTTTTTCCTCTGGGGTCTAGCTGTCCCTCTGCCAAACTGCCCCATCTCCCAAACACCTTAAGGCAGGCATCTCATCAAGGGGAACTGAGTAAAAGAAATGTAACCCAATCCTGGAGCTGAGGCTGGGCTGCTGGCGTTTGATAACACTGTTTCTGAGCGATCCATCCAGCAGGTACTTCCTGAGTGCCTGTACTGTGTCAGACCCCGTCCCGAGTACTTGAGATACAGCAGCGAGCCAAATGGTCAGCCAGCTCACCAAAGCTCTTCTCTTGCAAAACTCCCTGGTTGTGGAGGTAGCAATAAACAAAATAACAAATGAGTGACTCATAAGACAATGATAAGGTGGTAAGTACGATGGGAAAACTGATCAAGGTAGGGTCATGGGGCATAGAATGTGCCGCGGTTTGAAATAGGAGGTCGGGGTGGGCCCATTGGTATGTAGACTTGAAGAGATGAAGGGGTGAGCCAGAGGAAGACCTGGAGAGGAGTATTTCAGTGCCAAGTACCTAACATGGGAGGGAGCCGGGGGTGCCCAAGAAGCCAAAGAGGGAAGGAATAGGGAGGAGTAACAGGAGACAGAGTGACGGCTATCACGGGGGGCTGTGGGTAGCAATCATATTTGACCTTATGGGCCATTGTCAGGGTTATGGGCTTTGCTCTGAGTGACGTAAGAACCACAGGAGTTTTGAGCCGAGGGCTGGCATGCTCTGACTTTAGACCATAAAGGAGCACGGGCTGGCTGCATTGAGAATAGACCATAGAAGGACGAGGCTAGAAGCAGGGGGAATCGTAGTGAAGCCATTGCCAGCACCCAGGGAGGAGATGGTGAAAACAGGTGTCTTCCTAAGTCTTGAGCTGTCATCCGTTCTCACCCTGTAGCTCAGCATTAGGAGTAGTTCTCAGCCACCTGCGAGAATAGGTCCAAACCTGTCATGATTTCATTAACCCACAGAGCCACCAGATTCAAGTTTGGCTGCGGTTTGGATGCTTATGAGGGGCATCCGTCACTCCCATTCTTGTCAGGAAAAGGGACGGATTTACTTTCTTTATTATTTTAGAGGTTGGATTGCATTGGTATTATATATCTTCATTTTCTTCCAGAGGAAATAGTGATTATTTTAAACAAAAAAATACACATAAGACAGTCAGTATCTTTTCTCTATTCCTAATAGAAAACATAGCACCAAAGTGAAGTCACAGGAAAAATTGGGAGTATGACTTAGTGCTTAGTTGCTTGAGCCTTACTCTGTAGGAGCTTGGAATGACGCTGAACTTACTTTGAACGCCAGCACACAAAAACCCTCTCTAAACTCTGCAGTCAACTTTGGTGATCTCCAAGGGCTGGGAGACTGCGTATATGATTGGCATCTGCACTCCCTTCAGCCTCTGGAAACATGAGCGATGTGTGTTGACTGTACCTGCATTTCGCCCTTCCTCCTCCAAGGCTGTTGTGTGGGGATGAAGCAGACAGGAATATCCCCTACCTCTTCCCAGAATGGTTAACTCAGGCTTGCCATGGGAGGGCGAGCCGATTTGCCTGCAGGCCAGGCAGGCAGCTTGATGGTCCCAGCTGTCCTTGGCTTCCTCGGCGGAGGAGCCATCTGACAGACCACTAAGAGAGCTGGCAGCAGACCCAAGAAGGAGCCCTCCCAGCCCTGGCCACCTACACAGGTCAGGCGGCACGGTATGCTGCTCTCTGGGGCTATGCCTTTCAAATACTTACAGAATTCCAAGGCTTCCCTTTCTTCCAGTTGGCAAAGCCAGCTCTCTCCTCCTTCTAAGAAAAAAGACGCGCTGCGACGTCAAAGTGTGCTTCCTGGCCCCTCCCTTTACAAATGGAGCGCGAGTGAATCAGAGACATATGGGTTACATTTCCCTGGAAAGACACTCAAGTTCTAAGCCGAACTTGGCAAAAGGCATGGGGTAGGGAGGAAGGGGGGTGGCTTCAGCACATCCAGAGCCCTGAGTGCTTCGCAGAGATCTCAGCAGCATCACACACCTTCCATCTGTCCTGGGGAGGTCCCCAGATCTGCCCACCCCAAAGCCCAGACAGTGTGCACAGCAAAAGTGACGTGCTGACGTAATTAAAGTTGCTATGAGGTATTTTAATAAGTACCTGATTTTAAACTGATAAGAACGGATACTACACTTGATCTTAGCCAAAAGGCCGAGAAGCCATCAAGTACCTGATTTTAAAATGATGCCCTCCAAACTTGTGGTATAAAATGACTTAAAAACCCTTATGTCTGCAGGAAGGAGCATCCTACCGATAACACTTAACCTGCTAACATAGCATTTTGCCAGAGGCTGTACTAAAAAAGAAAGCAAACATTTATGACTTGGTAATAACCGCCATCCTGTGAGTACCATCCCAGCCTTAAAATGTCCCCCTCCCTCGGAAATATATTGTATACTCTCCATTTTATCTGCAGCTGGAAGTATGGTAATGACTTTCACGGATCCTGTCCTTTTACTTGTTAAAAGTGTTTGAATTAAACCATTGTGTAGTAGGGTCTGCAGTAAGCTTTCCCCCAGCAGCTGGGATCTTAGGGAATGTTCACTGAGGCCTGCAGCTCCCTGGCCTATGATGGGTTGAGCTCAGAACTCATCCTATCACTCCTCACAGGGCATGCAGGATCCCATCAGATCCCTGTTTTGTTGGTGCACTTGGAGGGATGCTAGTGAGGTTTGGGCCAGCAAGGCTTAATAGAAAATATTACCCTTCAGATATGACACCTCGGTAGAGCATAGGACTGCTTCTGGGGGGCCAAGAGGGAAGAGCACAGGGGACCGTGTGGTGTCGTTATAGAACTCCAGCAAGCAAATCTATCATTCCAACCATCCTTCAGTTCTCTGACACCAGCTAGGTGTTCAACAACCAGCTAAATTCTAACACTAAATACTCTCTCAAATTAGCATGGACCCCTCAGGTTTAAGGCTCAGTTCCACAGGACTGCCCCCACTTTAGATGGCAGCCAAAAGTGGGGTTCCAGGCAATCAGCATATCTGCCTGGCTGACTACAAATCTGGGGATTCCCACACCACCCCCCCCCTCCCTCAACTTTTCACAGGTTCAGTAATTGGCTAGAATGACTGACAGAACTTTGGAAAAACCATACTGTATTAGAACGGCTACAACTCAGGAGCAGCCCAATAGAAGAGGTGATAGGGCAGGGAATGGGGGTGGGGACACAGAGCTTCATGTACTCTTTGGGAACACTACCCTCCCAACTCGTTGATATGTTTACCAACTCAGATGCTTCCTGAACCCCAACATTTAGGGGGGGTTATGGATATTTCATGACATAGGCATGCTCGATTAAATTATCAGCCGTTGAATTAAACTCATCTCTAGGGCCCCCTCCTCCCCAGAAGTGGGAGTAGGGGGAGGCTGACAGTTCTGGCCTCCAGTCCTGAGGCTGTTTGTTCTGGCCACAAGCTATCTCCTCGAAGTTATCCAGGGCCACTCTCTCCTCCATGAGTCATTTCATTAGCATACGAAGGACTGCCAGGAACCAGAGACAAAAACCAAATACTTATTTTTTTCATTATACCTTAGAGACAAATTCATGATGGGCCCAAGCCTCTCTGGCCGAAGCTCTGGTCAACCGAGACAGGATTGAGGCGGAGGGGACAGGAGGAAGCCCAGAAGCCCTGCTGCTGTCTCCAAAGACCTTTGAGCGTCCTCCTCTGACCCCTCCTCAGAGACATAGACCAAAGCCCAAAACATGGGCTCTGCTCCTGGCTGAGGGTGTAGATGTTATGACCAGTGGCCACTGGCAAGAGGAGCTAAGCAAGCGGTTGTTGCTAGAAGTTCAGGGAGTTAGGAAAGACGGGAAGCTGGGTGGAATTAAAAACAGAAATGGACATTTTTCATTCCTATCAACTTGGGGGATTTAGCCTCTTCTCCTCCTCTCACAGGTATCCTCCTGAATAGAGGTAGTAGACACAGAGCTGACTGTTACCGGCTCCCCCCAAGCCTCCCCTACCTGAGGCTTCCTTTCTATTCTCGGGAGCGCTCTGTGTACCCCGTGACACCCGCTTTCTTTCTGAAGCTGGTGGCTATGACAGGCTCTGAACTCTGCTCTCTCTCTGTTGCCCGGAGCTGGAGCTGTCCCTGAGGGATTTTCGTCTTGCAGAATAATTTGGCGTTTACAGATAATTTACCAAAGCATTTGTTTCCATATAGAGGAAGTCATGCTCGCTGAAGAAAATAAAAATACTGGAACATCCGCCTTAGAAGGTAAGGAAATGCTCTGATGCCTTATTCTGCTTGCATCTGTCCCCCTCTTAGGCGATGGCAATCTCTCTTGATCAAAAGGGGAGAAAGAACAGAGGGTGCTCTGGGATTTGAAATGAGAGTCCTTCTGTCATAAAATCCCTCATGCTTTAAAATGAAGGGAATTGAGTCACAGATTTAAATGCCTTTTAAAGTGATGAAAATGAAACTCAAGAGTTGCTTTGTTCCAAGGCGTGTGATTGATACTGAGCAAGAGAAAGGCCATCCTACAACCAGTGCTATCTAAAGGGACCTTCTCATAAAATGTGTGGGGATCACCTGGAGACTACTTTCATTACCAAGGAGGTGGCATTGTAGTTGAAGAGCCAGGGCAGATGGACACGGAGGGCCTGTTTACCTCCTGCAGTTAGACAGGCTCCAGCATCGCTTTCAGAGCCCTTGTTTCAGGAGCCCTGGTGAGCACAGCATTTGTGGTCCTGTAGACATCCTTGATTTCTGTGACCCGGCTCAGGTATTAAAGGCAGATGCCTGTGTCACAGGGACCTCACAAAAGGCCTCTTGTCTGCAGTCCTCAAATTTTATCTAGAATGGTCTAGGAGTATTTGTGGCCTCTCACTGGCCTTCCCTTTCCCTGGCGTAGTGCTTCGAAGGGCAACCATCAAAAGGAGCCGGACAGAGGCCATGACCCGAGACTCCAGTGATGAGCACTGTGTTGATATCTCCTCTGTGGGTGAGTGGGTCCAGTTGGATCTTTTACCTCTCTGAGTCTCCCATGAAAAGGAATATCCTGCCTTTGAGAAGCACCACAAGGAGGGAAAGAATCCAAAGAGTTTGGAATTTAGGAATGCAATTAAGGAAGAGGGCAGAAATCTAATCTAGACTGCAAAAAAAAAAAAAAAAAAAAAAAGAAAAAAAAAAAAAAAGAAAAAAAGACCACGGGATGCTGTTCCCATGAAACATGGGGTTCATGGGGTTTAGGGCTAAGAATCCAAACCAGTGTTTTCAGGTGTGGCAGATGTATTCCATTTGCAGATCCAACCCAGTGTTTTCAGGTGTGGCAGATGTATTCCATTTGCAGAGGTACCCGCCCCGCCTTCTCCTGGGTGTGATGATGAGAATCCACTTTGGGACATTGTTTGAAGCATTCTGAGGAACTGTGGCTTCCAGGGACCCAGATGTGAGATCTTGAAGCCATGTGCTTAACCGCAGCGGCCCCCACCTACTTCCATCGTGTGCAATTGCAACTCAGTCTGATTGGCAATTCTTTAACGTGACGTGTTCCACCTCAGGTTCTCCTAGAGATTGTGGCCGATGGCAGGTTTTTCCTCCCCAGACAAAGGGACAGGTCTTGTTCCATCCTGGAAAGCAGAAGAGACTTACAAAGCTCATTGCTCTTTTGTGCTGCCAGTGGTAGAAATATCACCAATGCAGCAGCAAGATTCCGGTGTTTGAAGCATATTTAAAAGGAAAGGGCAAGAGAGAAGCCTAATCTGTTGCAAACATAAACACAATCCTATTAAGAGTCAAGACACTGGTGTCCTGCCTGGGGACTCCTTATGTTCCCTAGGACTGAGAGTGCCCAGAGAGGAAAAACAGGGTCACTGCCTGCAGAAACTACGGAGCCCACAAGATGGGGATTCCCCAGATGTGATCCCCAGACCGCAATGTGGCGGTCACCTTCCCCCAGGACTAGAGCAGCCTGTCTTGTCCTTCGAATGCTCCCTGACCGTGGAGGGTGACCACAGGATACTTTGCAGCCTCATTCTCCCTCCTTCCTTCTCTCCCTTAGGCACACCCCTGGCTCGAGCCAGTATCAAAAGTGCAAAGGTAGACGGGGTCTCTTATTTCCGGCACAAGGAAAGGCTCCTGCGCATCTCCATTCGCCACATGGTTAAATCCCAGGTGTTTTACTGGATTGTGCTGAGCCTTGTGGCCCTCAACACTGCCTGTGTGGCCATCGTCCATCACAACCAGCCCCAGTGGCTCACCCACCTCCTCTGTAAGTAAAGCCTCTCTCTAAAGCCTCCTCTGCTGGCCCGCATGTGGGGCAGCTTGATGTGTGTCTGAACATAGGAGAGCAGAGCGCCCTGTTAGGAGGGGTTCTGCCTCTTTGCACTGTGAGGGAGGCCACATCGTCCTCAAGCGGGGCTGGAGTATCTCGTGACTGCTTCCAGCTTTCATTCTTTAAGTGAACAGATCGTTGTTGATGAATCAACAAGATAGCATAAGTTACTCCTTTTGGGACCATAAAGCCTTCACTTTCTTTCTTAAGGAGGCTCAGTGATCGGGAGTTTTGATCATGGAAATGGTGGGCAGGAAGTTCTCAAGGCGATGGAGATGTCAAATAGACCAAAAGAAGAGCTTCTAGGTCAGCTCTGGATTAGACTGCCACTGGGCGAGAGTGAGGGTCAGGGGCCTGTCCCTGCTGGGGGTGTGGGGAGAAATCCAGCTCTTTCATCAAAGACACAGTAAGTCCTGTCTTTCTCCTCTGAGGGCTCTCAGCCATATAAAGGCCAGTGACAGGAGAGCAATATGGCTCTCAGCCATATAAAGGCCATTGAAAGAGAGCAATGCTGATTTGTTGAGCGTGCCTGGGACTCAGCCTGGGTCAGAGGGTACTCAGACATCATTAGGCTCTGCCCAGCCCTGGCCTGACATGGCCACTGAGCATCCTGACCACGCGTTGCTGCGGGCTCTTCTGTAGGCAGGTGTGCTAGCTGAGGGGTGCACGAGCCCACCCCACACGTGGAACTAATGCTCTCCTTTTAATACTTCCAGACTATGCAGAATTTCTGTTTCTGGGACTCTTCCTTTTGGAGATGTCCCTGAAGATGTATGGCATGGGACCTCGCCTTTATTTTCACTCTTCATTCAACTGCTTTGATTTTGGGGTAAGTCCTCGAAGGCCTGCTCGTGCTTATGCTTTGTGCTGATAGGCCCTGGTTTTAGATAAGCAGCTTGCTCCTTACTCAGCAGGAGGCATTGAAATCAGAATATATACAAGCAGAATAGATAAGATTAGCTAAAGGGAATTCAGAAGTCAGTGAATCCTTCCCACGCAAGGGTTGATTGGTTTGTTTTTCTAAGCTCTTTGATTGTTAATATTTTTATTAAAATGTAACACATGAATTATAGAGGGTACACTTAAGTGTACAGCCCCATGAGAGTTTACAAAGCTACCCATAGCCAGAGTTTTGAACTACTTATGATCTTGGGGGAAGCCTGAGAAGGACAAAGGACTTGATTCTAGAGGTGGTTCCATAGGAAAGAGAAGCTTATATATTTGTTCTTCTATTTCCATTTAAAATTGGGATAATTATCTAGATAGACCTCGTACAAACATACACACATACCCTTATATTAGCACGTCCCCACATAGAATATCTCAGCTAGCTGTTTCTTTTCTACATAGTATGGATATCTAAATGTATATATTATGCTAACACTTAAAGGTGCTTTCACATACCTTTTTTTTTTTTGGTCCCCTGCTGCTTACAGGAGTCCTATGAACTATATTACATTTCAGGAGTTAGTCTTCCCACTTAAACTAGAATAAACAGAAGCTATCGTGACCAAGTTCGTATACCCACTTAGCAGTGGAACCGGGTCGCAGAACTTTGGGCTCCTGAACCACTTATCTTTCTGCCAATCCCACTACTTTTTCTGCCAAAGCTTCAGTTAGTTAGGTGCTAAAGATTTTGAGCACTTGCTAATCTACATTTTAACTTGGAACATATGGTTCTGAGTATGGGCAATTTTCAGGCATAACAGCTAGTGAGAGATCACTTTAACCTTAGTTTCTTTGCGTCCATACCTTTCAGCATTGCTGTCGGGATTAATATTATTTTTCCTAGCATAATATCTAGAACACAGTGGACATTCGATAAATATATAATTAAAACAAAAGGAAATTGAAATGTTCATCTGAAATGGCTGTGTCTTATAGCAATCAGATCCTCCATCACTGTGAACTGTCACATTGAAGGATGCAAGACCTCAAATGACTGAAAGATATTTATTAAGGACCGACATGTTCTTGTTAGCACTGGATTTTAGGATGATGAGAGAATGCAGACCTCTAAAATTTCTATGCTGAGATGCAACTTGTACTAATTCAAATTAGTTTCGGTGGCTTGAGTACCACTCCTTTGTCAGTTTGTTCAAGGGGTTGTAGTGCCAGAGCAGCAGAAGCAGCAACTGGTTGTTGCAGTTTTCACCAAGGACAGGAGTCAGAAAGCCAATCTACAGTACAAAGTATCAAAGTTAGGAAGGGGATTGGAGAGCAATGGGAGCGAGGTGGCAGCTGCCCACATAGGAAGTTCCACTGAAGGTAGGGCTGGAGGGAGAGGAGAGTTGTTATTTCCCCATCCCCCGCTGAGAGCTGTTGATTGTGTGCTGGGTGCTAGAATGCCCCCTCTCCTCCTTCTCTGCCCTCCTCTCTTCCTTCCTCCTCCTCTCACTGTGGCTGGCATTGCTTCTCTAGGTCACAGTTGGCAGTATCTTTGAAGTGGTCTGGGCAATCTTCAGACCTGGTACATCTTTTGGAATCAGTGTCTTGCGAGCCCTCCGGCTTCTAAGAATATTTAAAATAACCAAGTAAGTGATCAGAATTTGGACTTTTCCCAATGACTTTGAGAGTAGACCCTTCTTTCTGACTTAAATTTTCTTCCATCTCCTCTTTCCCCCTTGGAGGGAAGTATCCCTTCCCTGCCCACCCCTTCTCTATTCTTCAGCTCTTCCTTCTCCAAAGATTAAACCAACAATATCTCTGATGCCACATTCCCAAGGGGAGCAATAGCTTGCTGCCCTCTCTGCTTCCTACAAATATACAAATGCAGCTTATTTCGTAGACTACAAGGCAGATGCTGAGCCGGGCTTGCGGGGGTGACTTGGTATGCAGCGTTCACAGCTGTCACATTGTCTGGGTTTTGTAGGTATTGGGCTTCCCTACGGAATTTGGTGGTCTCCTTGATGAGCTCGATGAAGTCTATCATCAGTTTACTTTTCCTCCTCTTCCTCTTCATCGTTGTCTTTGCTCTCCTGGGAATGCAGTTATTTGGAGGCAGGTAAGTGCTCAGAAGCTTTCCATCCAAAAGAGGCTCAAAACGCAGTCATAGCCTGTGTTGGGCTAGGGTCATTAACTCCGTCCACCATGTTACTACTATCTTGTCTGCCCTTGCCCATGGCCTGAACTGACCACTGAGTGAGTGTGTATGTGGAGTAAACTTCTCCATTTTATTCCTTTCATGCTGTAAAGGGTTCTCGTTCTGGGGACCACTGTCTTTGGTGCTGTCCCTGAAATGTGCAGCATGGGCAGCCCAACCCCAGTCTTACTCCCCACACCCTTCAGAGTGCATAGTTAGTTCATCAATAGTGGAACTGTTACAGTCTCTGTAAGTTATGTGGAACTGGGAAAAAGTAGGGAAGAAGGGGGTTGTGGAAGAATGGAGAAAAGAAAAAACTATGATCTTGGGAATGAAAAACTTGGTATGTGAGATTTTCATTCCATTCTTTTCTCCATTTTATTTTTCAGGTTTAACTTTAATGATGGGACTCCTTCAGCAAACTTTGACACCTTCCCTGCAGCCATCATGACCGTGTTCCAGGTATGAGGCCGGCTGACGGGTCAGAAGTGCTGTGTGAGGTCCCTTGGACTGTGTGAGTGCTGGGAGGATTCGGATATCCGCACCAGGCTCCTCCCAGGGGATGAGGCAGTCCTTCCAGTTCAGCAGTCATTACTACAGTAATCCCTAGAACTTCTGTGGCTTTGTTCCTGCCAATAATAAGAGAGCTCTTTTGGGACCACCTCATCATCCTCCCACACCTGTGAGTTTGCAGGAGACACTGAGTCTGAGACATTCAGCCAAGAATCACATTTGTGGTTTTCTGAAATCTGGGGGCATCTTCTACCTCATTTAAGGAGGTATCCATCAAATGGTGTTTATTTAACAAGGTTTCTTTTCACCCTCACTTCCCCCAAAACTCAACTGTTTAAATCATGGTGAAAACTCAAAATCAATAGTGTCTTAGGCCTAAAGAAAAATTCTGTTTGGCCAGAATCTGAGGTTGGACCACAACCCAAGTTTCCTGAACTGCAGCCCGCAAGGCTCTTTCTTTTTCTTTCTTTCTTCTTCTTCTTTTTTTTTTTTTTTTTTTTTGAGACGGAATTTCGCTCTTGTTACCCAGGCTGGAGTGCAATGGCGCGATCTCGGCTCACCGCAACCTCCGCCTCCTGGGTTCAGGCAATTCTCCTGCCTCAGCCTCCTGAGTAGCTGGGATTACAGGCATGCGCCACCATGCCCAGCTAATTTTTTGTATTTTTGGTAGAGACAGGGTTTCACCATGTTGACCAGGATGGTCTCGATCTCTTGACCTCGTGATCCACCCACCTCGGCCTCCCAAAGTGCTGGGATTACAGGCTTGAGCCACCGTGCCCGGCAGCTCTTTCTAATCATGTATCTGGGCAGCTCTGAGGACAGTTAGATAATGACCAGACCACCTGATCTGTGTGATTTCCACAAGGACCTTGCAAAGCTGGAGGTAGGAGACACTCTGCAGTTGGAGGAACAGAACCTTTCCCTTTGATGCTCTCCTTCCGTTTTTAATGCCTAAAATTGTCTTCTATATCAAAAGAAAGTTTAGGATTATTTATAGGAATTACTAATTTTTTTTTTTTTTTGAGACAGAGTTTCACTCTTGTTACCCAGGCTGGAAAGCAATGGCGCGATCTCGGCTCACTGCAACCTCCGCCTCCTGGGTTCAGGCAATTCTCCTGCCTCAGCCTCCTGAGTAGCTGGGATTACAGGCACGCGCCACCATGCCCAGCTAATTTTTTGTATTTTTAGTAGAGACGGGGTTTCACCATGTTGACCAGGATGGTCTCGGTCTCTTGACCTCGTGATCCACCTGCCTTGGCCTCCCAAAGTGCTGGGATTATAGATATGAGCCACCGCGCCTGGCCAGGAATTACTATTTTTTTTATAACTCCCTGGCAGGACGGTCAAGCAAGGGGATAGATGCAAATAGACCTAGGCCCAGAATTGGCCCTTGGTATTGGCCCCATTTTCTCCACCAGCCCCGGTTTCTGATGTGCCTGTCATTTGCTTTGTGTAGATCCTGACCGGTGAGGACTGGAATGAGGTGATGTACAATGGGATCCGCTCCCAGGGCGGGGTCAGCTCAGGCATGTGGTCTGCCATTTACTTCATTGTGCTCACCTTGTTTGGCAACTGTATCCTTTTCGAGATGTACCTCCTCCAGCTGCCCGCCTTCCTGGACCAGCATTTGAGGAGGTATTGGTGGTGGTGGTGCTAGAGCGTGGGTTGATGGGGCAGGGGTGTGGACATTGTTTGTTGTACTAAAGTAAATCAGGATCCTGATCTGAAGGAATTTGTGTACCAGTTGGGTCAATAATACAAACATAAGATAGAGTATTATCCAAATCTGTTGTGTACACGAATAATAACACAGGAGGCTGTTACATTGAATGGTTGGAGGTACTATGAGCTGGTGAACATTAGAGAAGGCAGAGATCACTGTAGGCTGAAATCGCAGGCACATTGTAGCACTAATGATTTAATTACATGCTAGTGTCGAACAGAGCCTGCCACATAGTGAGATCTCAAAAATGACTGTTAGGATTAATGCTATTATTGCGAATTATAGCAAATATTTATTGTCTTTGTGCTGCATGTGAGACATTAAACTAAGTGCTTTATAGCCAGTGTTTCATCTAATCCCTATAAGACAAAGAAAATATATCTCAGTTAAGTAAAATAACTACTGAATTGTAAAGGGAGACTAAAGACCAGTTCCATCTAACTCCAGTACCCCTATCCGATCACAAGTTCTAGACCAGGAGATTTTGGTTTTAATTCCAGCAACTCTGTGTATCAGTTGTGTGGCTTTGGGAAAGTTACTTAATCACTCTGAGCTTCTATTTTTCACAACCGAAAGGAGAATAATAATATTTATTTCCTTTGTTAGTGGTGAATACCAAATGAGATAATTTATTTGCATGTAATTCATTACAGACTTTATACAACTGTTAGATGCTTTTGGGGAGTGGGGTTTGCTGTGAATTTGGATTGGTAGAACAAAAAGGGAAAGCCATGGGATGTAGGTGTACTTTTGCATTTTTCATAGTTTCATAGAGAAGACGGGCTCTTTTACATTTTCGGCTCTGAAAACTTCTAGAGGTTGGATCAGACTAGAAGCACAATATGAGAAACTCATGAAAAGAGTGGAAGGCAGTGAGTCACAGATGTGGAAGCTCTGCGCGTCCCAATGGCATCGTGATTTTCCTGATGTTTTGAGGGTTGTCAGAGCTGGGCTTCGATGCTAGGACAGTTCCATGATCCACAACACCTAGGCTTTGAAGACAGTTGGAAATTGAGATTTCAGCGGCTAGAGTATGGCATAGGAGTGGACTTCAGAGTGAGTCATGTCTGCTGTGTGACATTTTGTTAAATGAATTGTGGAACCCTTCAGGACCCTCACAAGAAGAATGCGAGAAGTTAGCATCTCATTTTGGGGAGATGCTCAGTAACAGGAGCTGTGGAATCTCACTTTGTTTTGTATTTAAGGACAGAATAGTGGATGCTCATTGGTGTAGGTAAGGTTCAATTCCATCCTCCTACACTGAGCTCCCTACACATCTCACTCAGCGATTCTCTTAGTTGGTATTGCTATGGGTAAAGGCCACAGCTGTCTAAAGACCGTTTGAATGTGGCTGAACAAACTCAAAGTGCTTTTTCTTTCTGAGTGTTCCCTTACTCGTCAACAATCAACACAGAAGACTTCTGTGACCAAATGCATGTTTTGTTTTTTTACCCACCCACAAGCAAGCAGTCCTGCAGCGGATACTAGTTGGTGTCCTCTAATCAATTTTGATGCTGTCTACCTGGAGATTGCATCAGACCCCATGGGTTGAGTGCTCCATCCCCTGCCTTCTGATGACAGTTGCATGCCTCAGGTGACTTTGCCTGTGCTTCCGACCCATAGGCTATAATTCAGGGTTCCGACAAACCCCTTCCTAGGCTTGGTTAATTTGCTAGAGTGGCTCACAGAACCCAGGGAAAAACATTTACTGGTTTATTATAAAGGATATTACAAAGGATACAGTTGAAGAGAGGGAGAAGGAAAGGCATGTTGGATAGGCACGGAGCTCTCATGCCCTCTCGAGAGTGCCAGTCTCTAGGAACTGCCACATGTTCAGCTATACAGAAGCTTTCTGAGCCCTGTCCTTTTGGATTTTAACGGAGTCTTCATTACATAGGCCTGGTTAATTAATCCTTTGGCCATTGATGATCAACTTAACCTTCGGCCTCTCTCCTCTCCCTAGAGATTGGGGGGTTAGGGCTGAAAGTTCCAACCCTCTAACCTTGCCTTGGTTTGCTGACCAGCCCCCATGCAGAAGCTACCTACCAGATAACACTTTGGAGTTTCTAAGGATTTTAAGAGTTGTATGCCAGGAAACACAGTTAAAGACCAAATAATACTTTTTCACAGTATCTGAATTCTACTCACCCCATCTGGCCCTGAGGTGGTTTAATTCAGGCATTTCTTTATCCTGGGTAAAAAGATGATCTGCAGAAGGAGGGAAGACATATCCTTTCTCCTTTCAGCAGAGTTGCACAACCTCTCCCTCTCTGTTCCCACAGCCCCTGCTTAAGTGACTCTTCAGGGTAGCTTCTGTTCCTGTTAGTGTCCCAGGCAGGAAAGATCATTAGGTGGCCTCTCAGCCTTGCTGAAGACCTTTGCTTTTCGTATTTGTCCATCCTTAATTCATCACCCCAGACACGCTACTGAATGTGTTCTTGGCTATCGCTGTGGATAATCTGGCCAATGCCCAGGAGCTGACCAAGGTAAGCATTGTTCTCTAGGGATCTGATGTTTCTCTAATGCCATTGGGTACCCTCCAGCTTTTGGAACCCTCTCCAAAAGTCTACATTGTCTGACTCAGGCCTGCCAGGAAGGACCTTTCTGGAAACTTCTGGATGGTTGGATAACCATAGGCCCCTGAAGGAAGCCTAGTTCACTTGTATTGAGTTTGGTGAGCCTCATTCTAGCCTGGAGGCCTCAAGAAACACAGAAAATAACATCTTAATTTCTATGATCCCTCAAAGGGGTCCTTTCCAGGATTATCGTGGACAGTCAAGAACTTTCTAGAGCCCTGGTTTTCACTTCCATCTCTGCTACTGCAGTCTATGCCACTGTGACCCAGATCACATGACTTAACCCTCTGGGTTTCGGTGGGAGAGAGGTCACGGCTGTCACAGTTCCCAGGCTACGGCTGCTGGATTATTCCAGTGGCCATGGTCATTTTGGGGAAATTTCAATGAAGCCAGATACTAAATTTCTCATAAAATGGCTCCTTCCTTTTCTGATTAACTTCCCCAGTCTGGGGAGGCAACATTAACCGCAGTGGGATGATCTGCAGAGATGAGTAAAAACCCTTCTCTCCATAGAGAGGGCCGATGTGGTTTTGGGCAGAGGTGCATAGCATCTGGTGTCATTTCCGAGCTTCTTCCAATGCATTCTGTGATGTTATTTGTACATCCTTGAGGGTCTTTGTATCTGCATATATGGTAGGAAAAATACCAGCTTTAGTAGCTGAGAAACTGGGTCTGAGTCCCACGCCTGCATTGGCTGTGGTGGCTTGGATTGGACTCCTGATCTCCATTAGCATCAGTTTCCTCACGTGTGAGACGGGAACGCTGTACCCACATCGTATACCTCACAGGTTTACTGTGAGGATCAAGTGAAGTAATGCCTGTGAAAAACCATAGCATGCTCTGAAGATGGATGTGCTATTATCAGCTCTAGTCATTTTACCTGAGCTGGTTTTCCCTGGGTTCATCACATAGAGGGGACACTTGTAGGAATCATGCTGACGGGGTGAGATCTCTGCCTGAGCACCCACTTAGCTTGCAGGTAAGACACGGCAGTGGGGCACTCAGCACTTTACTCGGCAGGCTTCTTGCCTGGAAGCCCCCTGCTCTATCGCTTCCAGACATTGTAGGACATCTGAGAAGTGTCAGCTCCTGCCACTGACCTCCACAGTCATAACCGGCCCTACTGAGGGCTAGGGGTTGGAGTAGACTTCTCCTGATGCTCCTGGGCAGCCTGTGGATGGCTCCAGGATGGAGACAAGGGTTACCAGCCACAGTGGAACTGTGAGGCTGCTGTCTCCCAAGAGGCCTGGCCTCTGGCCATCATAGGTCTCCCAGCCAACTTAACATCCCGCTGCCTTGTTCATCCTCTTCCTGTGTCTTCCTCACTTCACTTGGTATTCAGAACTCCTTCTTAGGAGAGCCACGGGAAGCTACTCTCCTTCCTGGGGTTCCCAGGCAAAGCCGTCTCTGCTTTGTGTCTAGGATGAACAGGAGGAAGAAGAGGCCTTCAACCAGAAACATGCACTGCAGAAGGCCAAGGAGGTCAGCCCGATGTCTGCACCCAACATGCCTTCGATCGAGTGAGTCAGCTGCCCCCCCTCACTGATACCTGAGCTCCTGTGCTAACAGCCAATTCATCACCTCACAAAACTATTGGTTATAGGAGTGCACCTGTTCCATGCCGGGAACTGTTCCTGAGAATACAGCAGTGAGCAAGACAGGATCTGTTCTCATGGAACTGTTATCCCAGCCACTGAGATAGATAATAAACACACACATCATTTCAGATAGTGACAGGTGCTACACCTAAATGAAGCAGGGTCCTATGGCAGAGAAGGGCAGGAGCTGGCTGGGAGCAGCCTATGTCAAGCCAGAAGAGATTCACTCAGGAGGTGCTGTTTATAGCAGAGACCCAAATGTGTGGATGACGGTCATGTGACATTTTAAAGGCAGAGTGTTCCCCAGTGAGGTCCAGCCTGGCTGATGTGTAATTAATGAGGAGAAACAGAGACAAGGCCAGGGAGGGCGGCAGGGGCCAACTCTGAGGTCCCGAAAGTCCAAGTGGAAGAGTTTAGCTTTTATTCTAGCTGAAATTACAGGAGGACTTCGAGTGGAAGGGTGAATAGGATGTGATTGACACTTTTAAAAAGGCCACTCTGTTCTATGGAGCAAAATGGGCTGTAGGGGCCAGAGTGGAGGCAGGGAAAGAGTTGGCTCTCAGAGTAAAGTAGGTGAGAGGGGATGGATTTAGACTAGGATGGGGAAAATGGAGGAGATGAGGAGTAATCCCACTCACTCTGTAGTTGGGAGAGAGAGCCAATAGGATGATGGAGTAAATGTGACAGGGGTGAGGATGAATAAAAGGGAAGAAACAAAAATTGATCGCAGGTTTGAGGCTTTTGAGGATTAAGCAATAGGTTGGAGGGTGGTGGTAGTTACTGGATCCCTGGAAACTGGTGGAAATCTAAAGTTCATTTTGAGATACTTCTAAGGCATCCAAGCGTTGAGTACGCTCTTGGTTACTGCACCTGGAGCAAAGAAAAGTCAGAATTAAAACAATGATTTGCGGGAGGTGATTTGCTTTTAGATGGTATTTAAGCCGTCAGTGTGGGTCAGATGACCCAGAGACCCAAGTGCTGAGGACAGTGGCTGGCAGTGCTCCTCCTGCTTAAGAGGAAAAACAAGCCCAGGAGACCAAGGGAGTGCGAACAGGAAGCAGGAGAAAGAACAGGACGCACAGTGTGCTGGAAACCTGTGAAGGAAAACCGCTGGAAGGAGGAGTGGGTGCCGGTGCTGCGTATTGTAGAAAGATCACATACGATGAGGAACAGAAAAGGGACCATTCCATATGGAAAAATGAAAGCTGTTAGTGACCTTACAGGAGCCGTTTCAGTGGCCAGGTTGGAACAGAACCCAGTTGAAGTGGACTAGGGAGAGAACAGGAGATGATAAAGGACAGCGGTGAATCCATTCCTTCAGGGATCCAGCCTGGACCTGTGGTGGAGCTACAGGCAGGCGACGTGGGCCCTGTGTGGCCTAGTCTCTGCGTGGTGACAGGGGGAGGTGTTGGAGGAGAGACTGGGAAGTGACTGTGGAAGCACATAGCTCCTGCTTTTGCTTCTGGGCCTGCATGAGGACTGTGTGCGTGGTCAGTGAGTGCTGGGGCATCTGTGGGAGGGTCTGAGACCCCCAGGAGGTAGGAATCTATCCTGGCAATGACCCTGCCATTGTTAGTCGAAGCTAGTAAGGGAGGAGCCCTTGGTTAGCAAGAGCTTGGGTGAAGGGCTCCCAGGCAGCCTCTTCCTTGCCTTGTGTGGCATGCCAGGGTCGTGGCAGGGGACCTCCCTCCCTGCACGGCCATCATCTTGCCTTTGCCTTTTGAAACTCGAGGCCTGGCCCCTAGATCCCTCTTCTGTGAGTCAGAGAGAAAAATTCCATTCCTAATTGTTAAAAATTGATAGGGAAATGCCAAAGATTGATAGGGACTATTCCTCTCTGGAACTTTCTCTGGGTCTTGAGTAATTTCTACTCCACCTTCCTTGAACTCATGAGTTTGGGTTAAAAACACATACACACAGGTATCCAAAAATGTGGATGGGTAGGACTGGCTGTCACTTAGGAGTGGGTGGTTCTATTTACTGAGATGAAGAAGCCTGGGGGAGAAGTGGGTTTAGAGAGATGTGAGTTGGGACGATGCTTGGCCCAGAGTAGAAACTCACTATTTCTGGAATGAAAGAATGAATGAAATGTGGGTAGGCACAGGGCCGTGGGAATGGAGCAGAGTGTACATCAGGGCACTGCAAGGTGGAAGGAGGTGATGCAAACATCCAAGACCAGCAGAGACCCGGGCTTTGGTGCTGTATGTGTGCTGCTGGTGTGGAGCCACCTCCGGGTGTGTGTGCCCTGCTTAGCCGTGTGCACTCTGCTCAGGTATGTGTACCCTGCGGAGATGTGTGTGCCCTGCAAAGATGTGTACACCTGTGTATACTTTGCCCAGGTGTATGCGCCCTGCACAGGTGTGTCTACATTGCTCTGATGTGTGTGTCCTATATAGGTGTGTATCCTCTGCGCAGGTGTGTGGGCCCTGCACAGGTGTGTGTGCTCTGCACACATATGTGTACACTGCTCAGGTGTGTGTGCACTTTGCTCATGTGTGTGTGCCCTGCTCAGCTGTGTATGCCCTGCACCAATGTGTGTACACTGCTAAGATGTATGTGCCCTGCTCAAGTGTGTGTATACGGCTCAAGTGTGTGCCCTGCTCAAGTGTGTGTATACTGCTCAGGTGTGTGCCCTGCTCAAGTGTGTGTATATGGCTCAGGTGTGTGCCCTGCTCAGGTGTGTGTATACTGCTCAGGTGTGTGTGCCCTGCTCGTGTGTGTACACTGCTGAGGTGTGTGTGCATTTTGCTTGGGTGTGTGCGTCCTGCTCAGCTGTGTGTGCCCTGCACAGATGTGTTTATATTGCTCAGGTGTGTATGCATTTGCTAGGGTGTGTTTCCACTTCTCAAGTGTATGTGCCCTGCTCAGGTGTGTGTGCCTTGCACCGGTGTGTGTGCATCGCTCAGGTGAATATGCCCTGCTCAGGTGTGTGTGCCCTGCACTGGTGTGCATACACTGCTCAGGTGTGTGTGCCCTGCACTGGTGTGTGCACATTGCTCAGGTGTGTGTGCCCTGCACTGGTGTGCATACACTGCTCAGGTGTGTGTGCCCTGCACTGGTGTGTGCACATTGCTCAGGTGTGTGTGCCCTGCACTGGTGTGCGTACACTGCTCAGGTGTGTGTGCCTTGCTCAGGTGTTCATGCCCTGCTTGGGTGTTGAGGGGAAACTGCTGATTTGTGGACTACACTTTAAGTGCAAACGTGACTGTCCATGGAGAAACACAGAAGGAGCACTGTTAAACACCAAAGTGCCTGAGTGCTAGTTGTATTTCTGTCACTAATATACTCCATGACCTCAGAGAGACAAGCACTCCGATCCCAGAACCTCTATTTCTCCATCTTTGAAATGAGAAGAATGCCACCTGCCCTTCCTATCCACAAGGTTATTGTGGGGTGTTCACAAGGTCGCATTCGTACGAGTTGGAGACATGCGGATGCTTCTCTGTGTGATTTCAGGTATGAATGTAAGTTTGAATCTGTGCATGTGTGAGTAGAGAGGTGAATGCCCGTGTGTGTGTGTGTGTGTGTGTGTGTGAGAGAGAGAGAGAAAGAATCCACGTATGTACACTCTGACACACATGCTTCTGGATAGCTGGTATTTGAATATTTGAGAAGTTGCAAATAGATGGTGTGATGTGCTTTTGCTAGCAGGTGTGCATGCTGCCCGTCTAGAACGTATGCTTCTACTTCTGTATGCACCCATGCTTCTCAGCACTTCCGCCCCCACCTGTGCCTTGTTGCACTGTCGGCCGCCGATGCTGAGGGATGTATTCAGTTGAGGAGCTCACAGGCTTCTCCACACCGACGTCTGCATCCGTGGGCGCTCCTGGGCAGCCACACACATGTGCACGGTGCATCTTCCAGACACCCAGAGTGAGCCTCAGACTAGCTGCCTCTGCTCCCTCACCCCACCCTATGTGGGGCTCCTCTGCAGACATGTGAGAGGTGACAGTTGAGTGGGATTAATTTGCCTAGCATGTTTTTCGTGGTTGGGCATCAGCTTTATCAGGAGAGAGCAGCATTTGCCAACCTCCCAGGTCCAAGCAGGGCCCATTGGGCTGGACTGAGTTCATCAGGCCAGTAACTGGGGCAGGCTCGCTGCAAGGATAGCCCAGATGTGCTGTCCTCTACCTGAGCATTGACCCTATGCTGACAGCTTATTTTCCAGGTGTCCTGTCTGCTTTTGCGGGCACAGCCCATACGTTACCACTCGAACGAACGTGTGTTTGAAAAAAACACAACACGCACATGGAAGAGAGTTTTCTCTGTACGAGGCTGAGAAGGTCAATACTGTGCTCTGCCCAGCTGAACATAGAACAGGGCGTATGGCCAGGGCCTCTGCGTTGCTCAGATGCAGAGGTCACTGCTCCCATCCTGGAGTCCATGGATGGTGACCTACGGAAAGATGGCACTGCCTCTGACCATGGACCACTTCGTAGCCTTGACATCGTGCATGGCAGAGCATTTGCTCCCCTGCATGTTAGTGCAGCTGGGTCAGGGTCCGCTATGGGAGTGATGAGCTCTGGGGAGCCACACCGGGTGAATGTGCTATGCTAGCCCTAGAAATGACTGCGGGGAGGGGAAGAAAACGACTCAGCAGCATCTACAGGATTTCCACAATAGGAATCTGAAGGATGTGTAGGCGGAAGTGTGCGTGCCTGTGGGGCATGATGTTTGAGCATCTGGAGCTGTGTATCCGATGAAATGCCATAGCCTTTGTGCCTGTGCATGTGTGCTTTAAAGACTAGATCCATGTATTTGCACATCACAAGGAGTCGAAAGTCACTCCATTGGAGAGTCGAACATTGGGGGTCTACAGAGGGCAAACAGGCACACGGAGAGCCGACGGCCACGCAGAGGACTCTGTGCCCCGCTCCGGAAAACTGCTGGTGGCTGTGGGGCTTGAGGTCGCTAGAGGTTGGGGTGAACTGAACCTGTTCGTTTTTCTTCCCCAGAAGAGACAGAAGGAGAAGACACCACATGTCGATGTGGGAGCCACGCAGCAGCCACCTGTATGTGTGTACCAGTTTGCGTGTTTGTGAGTGGTTACGTGTGGGCGTGGGACAGTGTGTCATTGTCCTTGCCGTAGACAGTGGCACCAGGTGTGCATGTCAGTGTGTGCCTCGGTGTGTGTGTGTGTGTGTTCTGTGCACATGATCTGTGGATATGTCCTCTGCACCTCTCAACATGCGCTTACATCAGTGTGTGTCTACGGTATGTGACCTGTGCGTTTTTCCCCTCTTCTGTCTGGCTTGTGAGTGGGTATACATCGTGTTAGTGTTGGTGGGTATACCTCTCACGTAGGCAGTTGCGTATAGTTATGTGTGGGCCTCCGTGAGGGTGCGTGTGGGTACCTGTGTGTGTCCCCTTCACAGTCTGTAGGTGTGCGCCCAGAGGCACAAGTGGGGGGAGGAGGTGACCGTCCCCTCCGCCCAGCGAGCCCTCTCCTGTGTGCTCTTCTGCACGTGTCGTGTTTGTGTGTTCCTGCTGCCCCGTGAATACTCCTCTAGGCCCCTGGGCTGAAGGGTTCGACTGTGGTTTTGAGTATGAGCTGCTGGTGGTCTCTGGACTTAGTCTTCTGTGGCTTTTATTAGCTATTGTAGAAGAGACTCCCAGCACTCTTGCTTTTGAGAGTGATATCAAGACTTGGTAATAAGTCTGCTTGGCACTCTTCCCACCCTTCCGTGGTATCTGACCATTTCAGCCCTCGTTATCCCAGGCTGTTACCTGAGAGGGAAGGGAGAGGAGGGGGAGAGAGGAGGAGAGACCTTTGACCTGAAATCAAGGGCCGTAAGCAGATGCCCCGAAAGCAGGAGAGCAGGGGAGTGAAGATGGGGTAAGCCTGTGGACTGCTGCCCGGCCCCCGCAGTCCCTGGGGACTTGGAACCCCTCCCAGGGCTGATGCCTAGCCACCCCTCAGCTACTGCAAAGCAGAGGTTGGCGTGGAAAGTGCCCAGGCTGGGAGGCACCGTCCGATGAGCTCCTCAGCTGTGGCCCGTCCGCTCCTCCCATCTTTCTGTGCTTCCTGTCTGCAGGTCCTGGGCGCTCCCATTTGCTCCCACCATGTGTCCCGCCCTCTCACATGGCCCCTGCGGCCACCCTCCCCCACCTGTCTGCAACTTTCGGGCTCCGACCGAGGCCTTGCCCTTTCTCCTTGGCAGGAGGGAGCGGAGGCGCCGGCACCACATGTCGGTGTGGGAGCAGCGCACCAGCCAGCTGAGGAAGCACATGCAGATGTCTAGCCAGGAGGCCCTCAACAGGGAGGAGGCGTCGTCCATGAACCCGCTCAACCCCCTCCACCCGCTCAGCCCCCTCAGCGCACTCAACGCCCACCCCAGCCTTTATCGGAGACCCAGGGCCATCGAGGGCCTGGCCCTGGGCCTGGCTCTGGAGAAGTTCGATGAGGAGCGCATCAGCCGTGGCGGGTCCCTCAAGGGGGAGGGAGGGGACCGATCCGGTGCCCTGGACAACCAGAGGACCCCCCTGTCCCTGGGCCAGCGGGAGCTGCCGTGGCTGGCCAGGTCCTGTCATGGGAACTGTGACCCGACTCAGCAGGAGGCTGGGGTAGGAGAGGCTGTGGTGACCTTCGAGGACCGGGCCAGGCACAGGCAGAGCCAGCGGCGCAGCCGGCATCGCCGCGTCAGGACAGAAGGCAAGGAGTCCTCTTCGGCCTCCCGGAGCAGGTCTGCCAGCCAGGAACGCAGTCTGGATGAAGCCATGCCCGCTGAAGGGGAGAAGGAGCACGAGCTCAGGGGCAGCCATGGTGCCAAGGAGCCGACAATCCAAGAGGAGAGAGCCCAGGATTTAAGGAGGTGAGTGAGCGCACAGAGCACAGCCCGCTGCTAGGCGTTCCTCAATACAAGCCTTTCTGAGCTCCAGTTTCCCCTTTTATAAAATGGAAATGGTGCTGCACACTTTGTGAGGTCTGTATAAACATACAGGCAGTGGGCTCTGTCCGCCTGAGAACGAGGGCCTGCGGCAGTGGGTTGTGGATGGAAGGACGGGAATAGGCAGTAGGCTGTGGGTCTCGGCGCCTCTGCCTGGCTGGGTGGGGTGGAAGGCAGTAGTGGCCTTGTGCTCTCCAGCCTGCCCGAGCTTCCCCATCTTCCCCTCATGCCAGGCACGCCTGCCACTTGGAGACAGCGTCTGAGCACCAGCTCTCCCCTCCTGTCTCTTCACAGGACCAACAGTCTGATGTTGTCCAGGGGCTCCGGGCTGGCAGGAGCCCTTGATGAGGCAAACACCCCCCTAGTTCTGCCCCATCCTGAGCTGGAAGTGGGGAAAGATGCGGTGCTGACGGAGCAGGAGCCCGAAGGCAGCAGTGAGCAGGCCCTGCTGGGGGATGTGCAGCTAGACATGGGCCGCGTCATCAGCCACAGCGAGCCGGACCTCTCCTGCATCACGGCCAACACGGACAAGGCCACCACCGAGAGCACCAGTGTCACCGTCGCCATCCCTGACGTGGGCCCCTTGGTGGACTCAACCGTGGTGCACAGTGAGAGCGCAGTCCCTGTCCCCCTCCACCCCACCCCCTATCCTGTCTGGGGGTGGGGACGGTGGGCTCTGGGGCCATTCCAATAAAGCCACGTGGAAAACACCGCCAGGAGGAGTAAAGCATCCTTCAAGAAGTAAAAAGGAGTAGCAGAACAGAAATAGGCTAGAGTTCTCTCCGTCTTAAACTGTGCCCATCAAATTCCCTGAAGCTTTTGGTCCCTGTGACCACTCTCGAGTCTTCAGAGTGATCCCATGTGATGCCCAGTTGGAGATTCAGCTGTTTGATTTGGTGTGAATATTTGCTGTGTTCTCTGTGGTGTGCCAGGTGCTCTGCTGCCCCAGCAGGTGGGCAGCCTCTGATGGCGTGGACATGGCTCTGCTCGCTGAGTGACCTCGGGAACACCTCTGTATCTCTTGAGGCCTCAGTTTGTCATCTACAAACCAAGAGCATTGAACTAAATGACCTCTGAGTCCTTTCTCTGTACTAATATTTTATTTGATTCTATTACTCTTATCAACTCTTTTTCTCCCAGGAGCTTTTAGTCACAAGTTCTTCCCATCACAGTTCCCTTAGGCAACAAATGTTAATCAATGATGTCTTAACCTACTTCCCCACCCCTGCCCTGACCCTACACTCCATTCCAGCATTCATCTGATAACCCATCCCTGCCCTGACCCCACACCTCATGCCTTCCCTGACCCCACACCTCATGCCTGCCCTGACCCCACACCTCATGCCTGCCCTGACCGCACACCTCATGCCTGCATTAATCCCACACCCTATCCTTCCCTGACTTCATGTCGCATCCCTTTGGCCTCACATCCTCCCTGCCTTAATCCCACCTGCTGCCCCATATCACTGAACTGTGACCACAGGATTCCAGCTTTGCCGTTTTCCTCCGTTTCCGCATTTTTCTCTTTCACGTGACAGTCTTCTCCGCTCCCAGTTTTTCTGTCTTCCACGGCTCCCTCTCCATTTCCTCGTATTCTCTGCAGTCAAGGCGCCACCACTGCTCCAAAAAGTGCAGTCTCCCATGTCCAGCGCGTACTTCGGCTGACTTGGGCATGTCTCAGGGTCCCAGACTCACAGCTCTTTTGGTGTTTGTTTGCTTTTTTGATTTAATAAGTAAGAAGTGTTTGGGGGCCTTCTTTTATGTGAAAGAACGTGAAGAAAGCTCCACTCTCCCTCTGTTCTCATTCCAGAGCTAGTCGTTGGTCATAAGTAGAGGCATGTGATAGCAAGGCTTTTGGATACTTCCTACGACTTACTCTTTAGGAGGCCTTGGCATGGGCCAGGACCACAGGGGTCCGCTGCTGGCACAGGTTCCAGGGTGGAGTCATTCAGGGACCAGGGAGCAGTGGGCGAGGCTGACTGGGGCGCTTTCCCTACTGTGATAGCTTCAGCCTCCTGCCAGTTTAACCCACGCTGTGTCTTGAGTAGGGAAACAGAGCAGCAGCTGAGAGCTCCACTCGAGCTCCGGCTCCTTCATCCTCCCAATCCTGGAATGCAGTCGTGGACCTATACTCACGTGAATATTGCATTCTCATTTCTAAATTAATCATGGCCAAAAAAAAAGCATAGCCAGAAAGGCCGCTGCAAACAGAGTCATGATTTCTTGAAATCTTCCACTGCAGGGTGATTCACTGAAAGGATACGGGATTTTGAATTGGGAACCCATACTAGCTGTATGGCCTTAGGAAACGCACTTAAATTGTCTGAACTTTAGTTTTCCCATCTGTATCATGGGAGTAATAATACATGCCACTCAGGGCAGATTGATGGGCAAATTCAATAAGTGAATATGTACAAACAGTGCAGAGTTTAACCTTGTGAACTTTGTAACAGAAACACCGTACTATTTATCAGACTCTAAAAGTTCAGCCTTAAAAGGGGACACGTGATCATAGTCATTGATATGACATAAAAAGTTATTTCTTACAGCATTTGAGGAGGGTAAAAATCAGCGTTGAACTCAGTGTCTGGTAATAAATACCTGCAGCGCGTGCAGGGCACCTTGTTAGGGGCATCCCCGGAGCCCTTTCTCCTCCTCTTCTTTCATCCCCAGCTAAACGCAAAGGGTGCCATTTTCACATGCGGCATGGTTTCTGAAGATTTCAACGTGTTCCTCTTGCAGTTAGCAACAAGACGGATGGGGAAGCCAGTCCCTTGAAGGAGGCAGAGATCAGAGAGGATGAGGAGGAGGTGGAGAACACGAAGCAGAAGAAGGAGAAACGTGAGACAGGCAAAGCCATGGTGCCCCACAGCTCGATGTTCATCTTCAGCACCACCAACCCGTAAGCCACCCTTGCATGGCTCCCTCTTCGGGGCTAGGGTAAATGGCCGGGTGTGAGGCAGGGCAGGGTGAAGGGGAGAGGAAGGATGAAGGTCCACTCATCTCAAGCCTTTCTGGTGGAGTGCGGCCAGACATCGAGCATCTAGGGTGCCCACTGGGTGAGGTGGTTTGGTAAGTTAGACAGCCTCTGAGCTCTGTGTCCATAGCTGAAAGAGCAATGTCAGACAGGAGAGCGTGAGAAATGTCATCAGAAAGGAACTCTTCACCTAGTCTTCGGTCAGTAGGTAGCATGGAGGGTGGAAGGAAATCTACTTGAGATTGTGCCACCAAATGTTCCAGAAGTGGATAGAGCCAAGAATGTGGAACCTAGAACACCAGATCACCTGTTGGAGTTGAGAGTTTTGGTCACAGCTCTCTACATGTGGAGTTTGGAAATGGTCAGCTCTGAGCATGCCACTCAGAGGAGATGCAAGGGCATGAGGTAGGGATGGCAGAGAGGACTCTGGAAGATGAGATTCAGGAAAGATGGGATTTGGGAAGAGCATTCCAGCAGGGCTCTGGGAAGGGAGCAGCCTCCTGGGTTAAGGCACGTGAGGCATCCCTGGCTAGAATGCAGAATGTAGAATACAGTTACTTTAACCAGAGTAACCTGGGCCTCAGGAAAACCGTTACTGCTTTCATCAGGAATCTTAGAATCAACATCTATTTTTATGTTTCTTGGTCCTTTGAAATTTCCTTGGGATGTCCCAGTTCCTTACGGTGGGAGCGTAGATACGGAGATACAGCAGAGGGTGCTGTGCAGCTGCCCTGAGTTGGTAGGCTGATGCTGGCTGCTCCCCATGGCTCAGACGTGCCTGCAGATAATGCATTTTGGCTTGCGTGCTGCAGCCTCTAACCAATCTGATTATCTTCCCCCACTGGGGCTTTAAATCAAGGGTGGTGCCTGAGAAATTAAATTGCTCTCCCTGGCAGCCTCCTTTGGCGAGGGCCTGGCTGTCTGGACGGGGCCGATGTGTGTATGTGGGGAGTAATGGGTGCGGTGGGAGCGGTGGGGGAGCGGGTCAGTTCAGCCGTGCTCCGCCCGCAGGATCCGGAGGGCCTGCCACTACATCGTGAACCTGCGCTACTTCGAGATGTGCATCCTCCTGGTGATCGCGGCCAGCAGCATCGCCCTGGCGGCGGAGGACCCCGTCCTGACCAACTCGGAGCGCAACAAAGTGGGTGCACAGGGGCCATGTGCCAGCCTCCGTAGTGCCCTGGTGCCCACCCTCTCCCAGCACTGGAGGTGAACCGAGATGGGAGCAAGGTTGCCGGGAATGAATAAGGATTGGAAATTGTCGGGGAGTGAACCATTCCCAGACAAGCCCCTTCCCAGCCCAATACACTGCAAAGCTCTGCCCTGAACTGGCCAGGGCTCTGCGAGGGTCTGTAGCCACCCGTGGGCTTGCGTGTGGGTCATGGATGGTGTGTGCGAAGCCGGCCGCTGCAGCTCCACCACAGGGGCCAAGGCCTCTCCTGGGGGTCCCTTGGGAATCTGTCAGGAGATGTGAGGGACACAAGGAGGACAGGAGCTGACAAGGATTCCAGGTCCTGAGCCAGAACTGCGGGACAGGTCTGTGGGCAATTCAGACCCAAAAACCTAAGTTCTGGCCAACGAGAGAAAGCAGCCAAGGAGTGGCCACTGGGTCATCCGGCTCCAGCAGGGCCTGCGCCCCTCCTTCCTGCATTTCTTTCTCAATCCAGCTAGCGGTTCTGATTCCAAGCCTTTATTCTAGGGCGCAGTGGGGGAGGGCCAGGTGGGCGTGCACGCGTGTGTGTGTCCTGGCGGGTAGGGAGTATGTGTCGCCTGCTGGCCACACGTGGTCATTTCCCTCCACCGTACGTGTCTTTCAGGTCCTGAGGTATTTTGACTATGTGTTCACGGGCGTGTTCACCTTTGAGATGGTTATAAAGGTAAAAGCTTCTAGAGAAAAACCGGGCTCTTGGGTTTGGGTGGGTCACCTGTCTGCTCCTTAGGCTCGAGCTCTTCCTCAGTGTTACCAGCCACCAGCCAATGGCAGTCCTCGGTAGGGCTTCTGCTGCCCCCTCTCTGGCCTCAGAATCCTGAAGAAATCTGTCTCGGCTAGACACAGCGGCATGGATATGTTTGTATTGGTGCAGGCCTGTGGACCTGGCCCAAGTGGGAGGCAGGCAGCAGGTGTGCAGACAGGCTTGGGCCTGCAGGCCTTGCCCCAGTGCTTGTCCTGGCTGAGCCTGGGTGTGTGCCCAGGCAGAGGGCCAGGTAGAGATGGGTCTTCCCGGGCTTCATCTAGTCCCAGCCACCCTGACACTCCACAGCCTGTCTTGTTCCCAGCCTCATCCATCCGGGATTTTACCCATCTGTGCATATGTGGCAGTGCCCAGTATTCTGAGCCACAAATGAAAGGAGGAATGTGGCAAGGGTCCGTGACAGCCAAGGGGTCCAGTGAACCCTGAGTGGCTATGAGTCGGGGGCCTCGGGACTCAGTTGTGTGGAGACAGCCTGCTGGCTCTCCCTTCTCATTCTCCAGGCTCCAGCATAGGGCTGGTTATGGAGATGGTGGCAGTGGAGGCAATGCTGTGATGAACAGAGCTCAGGGCAAGTATTGCCCGCACCTTCCGGGCTCATTGTGGCTGTTCACGTCCTTCTTCTGCAGATGATAGACCAAGGCTTGATCCTGCAGGACGGGTCCTACTTCCGAGACCTGTGGAACATACTGGACTTTGTGGTGGTCGTTGGCGCATTGGTGGCCTTTGCTCTGGCGTAAGTGACTCTTTCCTTGTGTGATTCCCATCCCTCCCCTCTTCCTGGAGCCTCCAGCTGATTGGAAGCCCTTTCCAGAAATGCAACATGCAGGGTGATGCCAAAGAATGCCCCTCTGGAAATCTGCTCCCCAGGCACCCTCGGCAGAGTTCCTGAGGGCCGGGCAGCTCCAGTTCACGTAACCTGAGAGGCAGAATGGGGGAAGCAGGAGTAGGGAGCATTAGGAGGGAGAAGTCTGAGGCCCTGGGAATTCCTTTTCTGGAGACAGAAGCATGGGCAGGCACTCACCATGTGGACAGTGCTTCGGTGCACTCAGCAGTGGACCCAGGAACAGCTCATGGGCCCTTTCTTTCTTGAGTGTGTCAGTTAAGGAAGCAGCTTGAAAGAAAGATGCAGAAAGAGTAGAGCAAAGGTGAGGATCACGGAATCCTAGGCGTGGTGAAGTTTTCTGCTCATAGCAGGCATAAACAAGGGCTCTTCAGGGATGCAAGAACCGTGCTTTTACAGGAACCTAATAATATGTTTCATCTCCAAAAGGAAAGGCCTTCCAGACTTTCCTTGATAACATACGTAGGAAAACAGTCTTAAACCATTACCCACCGCATCTTTAGGGGTGTCACGAACTAAATCACCTGCATCACATTTGGGGGATTTCTTTTTCCCACACACACAGATCCAGATGTGGCCTGTTTTCAATCACATTCTGACATTTCCTGTGAAATCTAGCCAAGGAAAGGGCTCTTCCAGCCCTCCTGGGTGTAACTAGGAAATGGGATGCTCTCGGGGCCTTTGTCCTAGCTAGGTGTGTAGAGTGCTCCAGTGGGATGAATGACAGCCTCGGGGTCCTGTCTGTACTTTGTTCATCCTGAGCAGCTTCAGCCTCTGCCAGGAGGCACAACAGACTTCTCGGAGCCATCTCCTAAGACAGTACAAGTGGAAGCGTCATCTTCAGTCTAAGCAAGGCTGGCTACACCATGTGGCACATCAGGAGAGCTTTCGGAGCTGCTGTCGTTGATGGCAGCTGGAAAAGGAGCACAGGATCTTCCTTTTGCCCTTCTAAGTGGTTTTTCCTCCAAAGGTTTGCCCTTCCAAGTGTTTAGAAAGAGATCACGCTTGGAAAGATTTGCCCTTCCAAATGTTTAGACAGACAGGGAGGCTGACAGCGCTTTTCCCCAAGAACTCTCAGCTCCCGTCTCTAATCTTTTCTGGCAGAAAAATAGGTAGGGTGAGAGTTATGGTATATTTCTCAAGTGGCCTTGTAGGGGTGGAGATAGTGGAGGGCTCTCTGTCTTAAGGAGAGGTACAAGGCCCCCAGCTGTGCTAGGTTTGTAGGATCTCCCAGAACCTGGAAGTGGACTGTGTCCGCTGCCTCCTCAGCCATGAGAGACCCTTCAAAAGAGAACCGCATTGAACATAGTCTGTGAACCTGAACTGGGCTGGTGATCAAGGTGACTCCAGTGTCCCTTGTCCCCTTGTGCACATGCTAATTCCATTGTGTGCAGTCACCTCTGCCACCCACAAAAGGAAAGTTCTCTGTCAGATGTGGCTGGACTGTTCTTGAGGAAATTTTACAGAAGCCCGGGGTATTTTCTCAAGCATCTGGGCCCTGTCTGGATTCTCATTGTGCAATGAAAGGAGAGGCAGCCCTGGCTCCATCAAAGGACTTCCAGCTCCCCTGCCCACTTCTTGGAAAGATGGATTAAAATCTGCCTTTGCCCTAAGGAGACCCACTTTTTTGTTGGAGATAAATATTATCTTTGGGTTTTTAAAAGGTCAGGTTCCCTTTTCATTTTGTCAAATCATTTGCATAGATTATTCACCATATCGTTCTTCTTATTTGATCTCACTGAAAATCGTGTGTCTCTCTTTGAAGTATAAAGGACAAGGAGAGAGAATCATATCAGAAAGAACCCACCATATCTTTAGGAAGAACGGAACAGAGCCCACTGGTGTAACAGGACGGATTGGCAGGAAAGGCCGGGCTGTGGAACCAGACGGGCCCTTGTTTCAATCCCAGCCCCGCTACTTTCCAGCTTTGTGTCCTTGAGCCACAGCAAAATATTAACCCTCCTAACCTGAGTTCTCATCTCTGAAATGTAGATAAAACAATGTGTGTAAAGTGCTTAGCATGGGGCCTGAGGTAGTGCGGATGATCAGTAAATGTTAATTCCCCTCCTCATCCTTCCATTCTCCTGTCACATCATGAAATCCAAATATAGGAGCAAGTATGTATTGATGCACAGTGTATGCTGATAGATGACGTGTGCAGGCTGGTCCAAGGCCTAGTTGTTTTATACACACACACCCCACTTGCCTGTACCTGTGTGCCTGGTAACCAGGCTGGCATGTTGGTGCCAGTGTGGGAAGAGGTATGTTTTAGAGGAAGCTCCTGTATGCCTGCCCCTTGTCCACAGTCCAGACATCTCTCCCCAGACCCAGAGCAGTAATGATGTGCAGTCGAGCTGTCATCTGTCTTGTTTTTTCTTTGTGCCCTTTGAAACACGGCGGTGGTGGCTTTGGTGCTGGTGGCAGGGGAAGCCTTAACACCCCCGGAGCCGAAGCCTCTCTGTTGGTCCTCAGACCAGGTACAGTGCAGGGGCCCCCAGGAACCCCCTGGTTCTGGGGTCCACACTTCTGTGATGGATTGAGAGTTATGATCCATCACTTGCGTTGAGTCGCGTCACTTCTTGAACACTCTTCGTTTTCTCCGAAACATAGATGGTCCTTGCTCACCCTTCTCCATCTATTCTTGTGTTTGCCGTCAACTCTCCAAGCTTGCCGTGCCCATTTCCTCTGCCCGTTCTCTGCTCAGGGAGCAGGCTCCTACTCCTCCCCCTCTGGCCTTCATCGCATTTGCCAAGCGAGGTCCAGGTAAAGCTTTCTCTCGCTCATGCACCCATGCTTTCTGACTCTGCCTTGTTCCTCATTAACGGGACCAGAGAATTCAGCTCTCCCATCACTTTGGTGGAGTTAGCCAGAGTCCCACCTGCCAGCAGAAAGAGGGCCTGGCCTGGGGCAGAGAGTGAGATGAAGTCACTGAGCCTTTGTCCCTCACGGTCAGGGGCTCAGGCCAGCACAAAGCCAAACGTGGGGTTGTCTGCCGGCTTGCCAAGCGTCTCTCTCCTCGTGTTGACAACTCTCATTGTCATATCCCACATAGCTGCCCCCTGATGTCCACCTTTCAAATAACCTTGTTCATGTCCTAGTCTTTCTCTCCTTCTTGAAATTGAACTTGGACTTCCCAGTGACGCTTCTGTGAAGCCTATTGCTTCATAAACTTGAGCTATTGATGGTGGTTGCCATGGTAGCCTCTTTCTGTGGCTCCTCAGAAACCAGGACTGACATGGCATTCCTTCCGCCACCCGGCCAGAGCCTTCTCCGATCCCGGCCCAACTCCCAGGAGCAAAGCTTAGCGGGGGGCATGACCTCCAGCTGAATTCTCAGTGAAAGCTGCGGTGTCCCTGAGCCCTCCTGCCGAGGCGCGTGCCTGCCACCATGTATGTTTCCTACGAGCATATATGTTGTTTATGTCGCGGCTGAAGAGAAGCCTGTTCTCCACAGCTGCATACATCAAGTAAAGGGAACGTTTATAATGTAAACCTGACAAATTCCGTTGGGGAGCTTTATTGACTTTTGAGGAGGAAGGGAAGTGGATTTATTCATTTATTTATTTTTCTTCTTGGATTTAAGTGTGGGCAGAGCTGTGGATAAGAAAACAAATGGAAAGATACCCACATTGCAACTTTTCCGTTCTTTCCTATTCACTTTTACATTATAAGGCATTTATAAGAACGCCCAGGTCTCCTTCCTTCAGCCCAGCACCCCTGCAGGGAGGTGGGCAGAGTTTGGGCAAACGCTGGGTTCAGGGCTTCCTCATTCTACTGCCCTCACAACACCCGCTTTCTGGGCCACATGGAGACAGAGTGTTTGCTGACTATAAATGTCCAGAGCTGTGCCTTTTCTACTTTGAGGTTTCAAGAAAAGTCTGGTGAGTGGCTGGATCTATGAAACCCTCCTCTTTTTTCTTTTTCTTTTGGAAGAAGAGGGATTCTGTTGTGTGATTTTATGCGAGAGGACCGGAAACCGCTTTGCCTAGTTTCCGAACACCCTGTTGCCATCGGTGCTGCTTCTCGGCCCCCCGGTGGGAAGGCAGGGATGGTTACAGCCTTGGCATTTCTGGGGATCTGCACATGAGGCACATTCCCCTGCTTTGGGGGACCCCCCACAACAACTGAAGTCAGCTGCCTTGTAGGGAGGTCATGAGGTCCCACAACCACCACACAGAGTGCTTTCATGAACCTCACAGAACCTTCATGTTCCATGCCTTTCATGTTTAGTGAAGCGACTTGGGGAGACAGGTGGCAGGGACGGCATCTCTAGAGAAACGCAGGAAAGGACCAGCACACCTGTGCATGTGTGTCCATAGTGTGTGACACCCGCACTCCAGCCCAGGACCCTCACCCTCTCCATTTCCACTGCTCTACAACATGTTACTTGACTAGCTCGATTCACATTAGCAGGTGAGCTCTCCTGGATTGGATTCTAAGTAGTAAACTCACAGCTTATAACTGCTGCTCAGCATAAATGGTTTAACAGAAAAATAACTAGCAATTCTGCTCCCATCTCTTCCCCCGCCTCGGAATTTACCACGGCCTGTGCATCAGTCGGTCACACAGGCTCTCTGATGGCTGAAGCCAAAGCTTCCCGTTGCCATTTGCCATTGTAGCAGGGCACGGGGTGAGGTCAGGACTCCCTGGCACTCAGGAGATTTGGCTTACAGCCGCACTCAGCCTTCCATTATTCAGTCCTTAGCCAGAAATGAAAAATATGAGTCAATCTGCCTCTTGATGCCAGGAGGAACTGGTGTTCCCACATTAACTTTTATTACATTCTTTTCATTGAAGTATGCCACTTTCCTGACACTTGACACCCCGCCCTAGTCGCTGAGGTGGATAAGGTCCATTGAATGCATTCAGCACTAGCTGCAGCAGAGTTATACA